CTCTTCAACAACCAGCACCGGGCGAGTTGTAGTTGCTCTCCATGTTGTTGTTTTTGCTACTGCTGCTTTGACTCCGTGTTGCAGCTAATGTCACCGCTTTTGTTTTTCCCCCACGTTGTTGCTGTTGTTTTTGTTATATTTGCTGTTTTTAGCTGAAATGGCAAACGGTTGGAGGGTTGGAGGGTCGGTCGGTCGGTCGGCCGGTGGCTCACACATCGCACACTCTTCGTTCGCTTGCAGCGTTTCTGCGTGTTTCTTCTTCACTTCCAATTTCGCTTTGCTTTTGTTGTTTGGTTTTTGTCTTTGTTTTTGTTTTTGTTGTTTTCTGCCACCAATCGATAAAAGCGAAACGTCGCGCCAAACTGTGACAGGGGTGAGGAGTGAGAGTATGCATGTACATATATATGTATGTGTATATGTATGTATGTATGTTTGAATGGTTGTGTTTGTTGGTCGGCGGTCGATGGTAAGATGACGACTACAACAACAACAACCACCACAATAACAACAAGAGCGTCAGCAAACTCACTGGGAACGGTAACGAATCTGTTGATGTTGGGCGTTGGGTGCTGGCTGGCTGGCTTGGTTGACGTTCATGCTAACCAAGCATATTTATATATTCACATATATACATACATACATACACATTAATGTGCGACAAACTGCTGCAAAGAGCGAAGAGCAAATGGCGCTTGCCTTTAGTTAGTGTTGTTGCCGCTGAGCGTTAGCAATGAATGTTACGGCAGATGGTATGTATACCTATATATATGTATGTATATACATACGTTTATGTACATACTCTCAGTTCAAGCTCTGTTGTTTGTGTATCGATGGATGTATGGATGTATGTATGTATGCATGCGCCTGAGTGGTGGGCGGCGGTTAGGTCGCCTATGAACGACGTCAACAGCGTGCGAATATGTATCTCGATACCTACTTAAATACATACATACACACATACACACAAATGTACATACATGTGTATAATGCATGGGTGGCGGTAAACGAGTGACTCAATGTACATACATACATACATACATGGATGCATATATACAAAATTGTTAGGGCCAGCGCAAGGCCTAGATACAAAAATAGTGCAAAGAAACATACATGCATACATACACTACATGCATATGTAGATACACACATTAAATGAACGAAAAAACGGACACACGTTCATAGACCTTGAAGGTGAATATGACTTTATAGGGATATATACATATAAGTATGTATGTACATATGTGTGTACTCTTACATGCATATACTTACTATGTATGTATTTAATGCGTTTGGCTATACATATGAATGTATGTACATACGTATGTATGTATGCATGTATGTATATGATAATGTGCATCTAATAAAGCAGGTGTTATATTCCATAAGCGTTCCCAGGATCCTATCGATCTTCAACCTGATGAACCTAAAGAACGTTCATAAAACTGAATGGCCTTTACATACATACATACATACATACATATATCTATATACGACTGAATTTATATGGCGGCCGCGGTAGCGGTAGCATTGCATATAGCCATTCGGGAGATCAGACTTCAAGTCCCGGTTCGACCAGCATTTAAATTAAATTTTTCTAATTGCACTCGCCTCTCGGCAGGACGAGTCAAAACCTTTGAGTGTATTTCTGACATGAAATAAATAAGCTCCTCATAAAAATCTCTCAGCCGTTCCGAGCTGGCTTAGCATGAACTGTACCAGGTATCTTCATTTGTTAGAAAAACACAGGACGCAAACCACAACAAATTAGAGAAAAAGCTCGGCCGAAAATCGCTTCAGTGGTTACAAAGCGACTATACATACTTGTAATGTACATACATATATTTTTAGTAAGTTTGGTTTTTATGAAGAGGAAGAACTTCAATATAGTGAATACCAGCATTAAAACCTACTGAACGCCAGGTGGTGGACGTGCAGGTAGTATTCCAGCGTTATGTCATCTTCTGTTCTTGATCTATCCGCAGCAGATCCCTTTTTATCTGGTTTTAGGGTAAAAGAACGTTTGCTGCTAGGTCTTCATACAGAAAGTACAAAAGAGTTTGAGGTAGGCGAGCACAGTTGCCGAGCGAGTAGCAGTGCTAACTGTGCTACAAGCAGCAGAAAGGCTACGGGTAATGCAACAGTGTAAGATTTAAAAGCTTTTGTATACTGCGTTCATCACTCGCCAGTGTATATCTCAGTATTGAGTACCGAGTTTCATTGTGATATGGAAACAAAGTTATCAGGAAATCTCGTCAACGGTTCGGAGACGATACAAAGCTTGTCAGTTTGAGATTTTGGTCTAGGAGAATCCACCTTAACTCCTTCGGTATACTTTCTGGTAGTACCAAACGGTATTTGGTTATATGTTCTTAACTTGAAACGGTTGTTATTTATAGATCGTCATGGTTTCAGTTCTCTTTCACTTGGAGCCAGGAATGCACGCGTTGTTACATTTAAATATCTGGAGATGTGCAGAACTTCGTTCGTCCAAATAATGTCAGCTGGGTGTCCACTTCGATGTCGAGTCACAAAATAAGTGGTGTTGACCGCTTTGTTTCAGATTTAAAGAGGGTTCGGTAGTTCCAAATTATCTCATTACCATGTAGTCTGCCGCTGTAAAGAGCGCTTTTGAGAATATTGCTCCATAGTCAACGTTTTATCTTCATTTTTTTTCTCATGTGCTCATGTGCTACGACGTCGAGAGGGAGCTCCATCTTACGATGACTGAAGTTGCTTCCTCTGAGAGAGTGTGGAAATTAGTGCATACACTCAGGACGGAGCGCCAGTAAGTAGATTTAATATTTGATCTAGGGCCAGTAGTCTTCATAGCAAAAATGGCAGTGAAACACCTTTCCCGTATACAGAAACTTCCGTACATGCTTTGATCGTCCATGTTGTTGTTGTTGCAGCGGTTCGCTTACCCCGCTTAGGCACAGGTTTGAGCTGTCTAAGTCGCCGAGGTCATCTAATGGGAGGTCCAGGAAACGAGCAGTTTCGACGGGGTTGGACCAGAGGGAGAGGGGTGTTAGATGAATTGGTTTGAGAGGGCATGTGAAGAGTTGGTTAGTGTCGTGGGTATGCTGGGATCTAGTCTGAATAAGTAGAAGTTTAACCTGCTACAACATCCAGACCTAAGCTGTATCAGCTTTGATCGTCCATGATGTGAATGCGCTGACTGTGTGTTTTATGGCTTGGTCCTCGTCACTAACAGACTCATTCGCTTCATTTCCTTATGCGGTCTGGAAAAAGCAGAACGAACGACAGGTTTGTTAAGGGCGATGTTGCTAATAGTAAGAATATTACAACTTCTCCATTTAACTCGTATTATATTCTCCAGTATAAGGTAGAAGAGGTCCCATCACAATCGTATTTGGTACTGAACGGCTGAAAGAAGTTTATCCCAACTCTAATGACGCTTCTGATGTTATTAATCATAAGTTGACACAGTCTTATAAGTTTTACGACCGCAGCAGCCAGATGGTTAGTAGTGACTTCACTTCACTTCATTATGCTGCAGATTAATCTGGAGTATTTAAACCTTTTTTTTTTTGGTTCTGCGTTCGTTCACGACCAGAGTGGGAATACACTAAGCATATCCCACAGTAATCCGTCAAGCTTTGGATATGGCAGGTCTTCTTCCTTTTTGTTGATTTGAAGGTAATTACTTCCACCCAACTCAGTTTGCTTGCTGTTGTTGTAGTGGCTACGTTTACCCCTACGGGCAGGTTAATTAATCTAAGTCGCAATGGTTGTACCAGAGGAAGCAGAGGTGGTAAGTGTCGTGCGGAGACTCTTCACATGCAGGGTTTACGTTGGATATATTGGGGTCGAGTCTGTATAGGTAGGAGTTTAGCCTGCTACAATATCAAGATCAAGTTGTGCCAGAGTCACGCGAGTGTCTCGAGGCAGTTCTACGTATCAGAGTTGGCCCGAATTTTATACGGCCAAGGGCTGTCATCCTTTCGGCGGACCAAACTGCGCCGTCTAATTATGACATGGGTTTGCCTGGTTCCTTCGTTATATGCCTTATCCTCATGCTAAGCAGCTAGCCCAAAGGATTGTTACGATTGTGTGATTGGTCGTGCGAAGTGACGGTTGGCTTTGCCTCGCGCTTCCCTGAGCCGTTTTGTTAGCATTGGAGGCGCAGCTTTAGCTAAATTTGCGTCTCTTGGTGTCGTTGTATTTTGCTTTTATCACATCTAACGATCTTCTGAGGCTTATTGTTGTTTGTAGAGCATCTCTGCCGCTTTCCCTCCTCTTATCCGATTCTGTTTGGGTTGGGGACCCAGCTATGGCTAAATTTGCTACTCTTGATGTGAAGGGCTTTTATCTTCATGACACCTAACGATCTTCTCAGACTTAATGTCTCAAATGCCAGGTGAGTCGAATACCCGTACGTCGGAACTCGCTCTTCACGTGCCTCTCCTTTATGCTTTCAAGGTATTACCCTTGACTCCGCTCGCCCAAAAATTGCGTCCTACTCGTCTAACCGTGAATGTATTCTACGCTGCGCTTTTTCTCTCACGGAAAAACTTGGTGGCTTTGGGTGATTCCCATTACCGCCTTATATTCCTATTTGGGCTTTCTTTGGTTCTATATTTCTCGCCCTACTGCTACTCCATCTACTTTCTAGGGCTAGCTAAAAGCTTTCTATCTCTTGTAGACCTTACCATACTATCTCCGTTTCAGTCATCGCTGACCATAATTCCCTTCGGGTTCTTGTCCTCCTACTCTTTGTTGTTATTATTATTTTTAAGTGTCGTCGAGGTGGATTCAGTTGTGCCAGCGCAGTGGCTGTTCTTGTTCACTACTGGTAAGGTAAGTACTGATTGGCAATTCACCTCGCCAAAGTGCTTATTTTTGCGGAGAAAGGCGAACTATAAATTTTGGAAGTAAACATTTATTTGAAAACTTTAGCCTATGCTCCGTGTGATTCGAGTGAAATTTCTTTAACATTTACTACAACATAACCTTTCTTTTTTCGTTTTTTTTCCTTGCAGTAAAATCTTGTCGAAGTCACAATGGCTCCATATGAAGGTTATCTGCTGGAAATCGCTCAAGCCATAACAGTACGAGATGAGGACAGGCAGCTGTATACGGCAGATTTCGAAATTATACGAAATTATATTTTAAATGGAATGTGCAAAGTTGACAACGTCTTCAATATCATTTACAGGGGTACAAGTCTTTTCGGTAGGTAAAAAAAAAGAAGTACAAATATAAGATTATAAAAATGAACTCGCATTTAAGTTCCTCGTTAAGTGCCCTGGTCTTTTTAATTATTATCTTATTAACCTTTACTACTTACACCTCACTTATCCAGTTAGAACGAACGTGATTCTCGGACATTTGTATTAGGTAGAAGGCGGAAAATGTTCTCTATCTTCAATCACATCCTTTTATAGGCGCCCTCACGTTCATCCGATACAACACCCTGTCCCAGAAGCCGGATTGAGGGATTTAAGGATGACCATTTCTCCAATGGGCAGTCTTCCTTGCCTCTGCAATTTTATTATTACACTAGCTCCTCTTTCGACCTTTTGGAAAATCAATGAGTTATTTAGCATGCTTGAAACGACAACCCATTGTTCCTATAAATGAGTGTTTGGAAATCTCTTTACGAGAGCAGCAGAGTCGCATAAGTTTCACACTTGCGATATGGTTTGAAAATGTATAATTTGTCGACCTTGACTTCCTTGCCCATCCTTTGAATCGGCCAATCCTTAAGTTCGAAAATGCAGAATTTGTCATTCATGAGGATTCCGGCTAGATTCCCATCACCGGTGAAAGTTTCTGTAATCTTTCCCCCTCAGTGAACATAGCCAGCCAAATAGCAGCCACACTTTCATAATTACGGATACGTTTAATGGACTTGTATTGTCTTTAATGTACATGCGACAAAGGGCACAACTGCTAATTCCACCTTTACAAACACATTTTCATTTAGAGGTGATGACTATTCCCAGCATTTACGAACAAACTTATCATTGGAGGAGACGAGGAGACATAGTCTGCCTTTACGAACACACTCCTTTTTAAAAGTGGACCGACCAAGGACCTACTACCCATCTGAAAAGCTGGTAGTCGCAGCCCCTTACCTTGAAGACGGACATCTTCAAACCTCAGCGGGAACCCAGAATTAATTGACTTTCATATCGACTTCTACTTTCTTCCGCACCACGCGGCTTAAATCGAACGAGTCGGCGTGGTTTCAGTGAAACCTCTTCTTCTTTAGTCTCATCCAGGACTTGTCTACATATATATTCTCCCTCACCGGGCTTAATCGAATACTTTTGAGTTTGAGCTGGATACTGTAGCAGGTTAAACTCCTACTTATCCCGACTAAGCCCCAGTATACTCAACGTGTGCCCTGCATGTGGAGAGTCTCCACACGACACTAACCACCTCTTCACATACCCACTCAAACAAACTCATCTAACCCCCCTCTCCTTTTGGTCCAACCCCGTGGAAATAGCTCGTTTCCTGGATCTTCCATCAGATGACCTCGGCGACTTTGAGTAATCACACCTGTCCCTAAGCGGGGTTAGCGAACCGCTACAACAACAACAACATCAACAGAGTTTGAGCTCTGTTCAGGGTATTGCTGTCTTCATACGCGGTATTCGCGGTTTTCAATGCGCAAAAACTTTCTCTCGAACACTCACAGCTTTCCTCATTAACGCAGACTGCTGCACATGGCTTCGTCCTCAGAACTGCACAGCACCCTCCAGTCAATTTGTATTTATATATATTATTTTGTATAATGATGTATGTATGTATATGTGTATTTTCATTTATTCTATTATGTAAAATTAATAATAAATCTTTAGGCAGCTACTCAAATAATGTCCGAATCAAGTATCCCAGCGAATTTGATGTGATATTTAAGCTCAGTGTGCCTTTTTCGAAATATATTAACGTCGAGGAGGACGAAGATCGTCCTGGATATGTAAATTTAGACTTTGAAGATGTTATGGAGGAAATGTATGAATGCAACGGTTATACGGATGCCTATAATCGATTTGTAGATCTTGTCGATACTAATAACAATTACCTGCGTCGTTCGAATCTACAAAGGTGGCTTAAAGATGTAATGGAAACTTGTTTGGACACTTTTGGCAATCAAGTTCGTGGCAAGTGGGGGCATTTATATACGTTAATCTATTCGAAACGTGGCTTAGCCCATACAATTTATGCTAAATGTTCAAAACATTCGATTTCGATCGATTTTGTACCGGGCATTTGCTTTGGTCCCACCGAATGGATGCAGCTGCCGCACTCTAGAAAGTTCAAGCACAAATGCGATCAATGGTTTGCCGTGCCAAAGCCAACAAGTGGCCCCAAAGGGACCAGACGTTATGCATTTATGGTGTGCAATCCAAAAGTTGAGCATGATCTACTCTTGGGAAGACAAAATTTGAAAGTAGTTTTTCGTTTATTAAAATCTCTGCGAAATGCATATGGTATGTATCGCCTGAAAAGCTACTTCCTAACAACTGCTTTCTTATGGGAAATTCAAATACAGAGCGACAGGTTTTGGCATAATCCGTTACACATTTTACTTGAGCATGTAAGTGTAGTTGAAACGTTTACAATTGAAACGATGGTGGTAGGTGCTTTAGCCTATGGAATGGAAGCAACTAATTTTTTTTTTTTTTTTAATATCAATACACATTACTTCAACGCTTAAGTATGTAACAAAGACGTAAATCTGCACCTCCACACTATTTTTTTCAGGTATTTTCGGCGGTTTTCGAAGAAAAAGCAGGCATTAGAAGCCGGCAACACCATATGAAACTTTTCCGTCATGACATTTCTTGGCAATGTTTACGTTTTATAACGAGAATTTCTAAGCATAATTTCTAAATTTGCAGACTTTGGCTTGTATTCGATGCATCTTTTATCATATGATTTCATGCTTTTGAACTTCTTCTATATAAATTTAGAATAAAGCTCCACAAACACTCACAAATAAGGAAAATATAATAAAACAATTCATCCTACCAATACACCAAATTGTAGAGAAGAACTGCGCGCAAGTAATTTATCGATTAAAAACGTTGTATATTCTGTAGTAAACATTAAGCCATCATCCGATTTATGCCGGTTTTGCTCGATAACTTTTTGCCTTTTTGAAGATAACAACATTAAGCCTCTTCCATGAACTCTCTGTTCCTATTGTCAATCGATTTACACAGGCTTCTCTTGAGGCCAATTCTATTCTTAACCAGCCAAATCATTCGCCATAGACATCAACAGATGTTAATCACTTGCTGCGAGGTCTGGAATGCATAAAAACTCCAAGCCAAGCTCTTTTAGCTGCTTGTAAGTCACTATCAAAATGTGTGATCTAGCGTTGTTGTGGTGACAAACAATTCCGCCTCCTGTTCTGGGCGATTGCTTCCTTCAGACGGTCCAATTGCTAACAATAAAGGTCCGAATGGAGAGTTTGGCCGCGAGGAAGCAGCTCATAGTGAATGATTCTTTAACAAACAAATCTAACAGAACAAAATCTTGCTGGGCGTTAATTATGGCTTCGAGACTGTTTGTGTGTTCTCACTGCACTTTGACCACGACCACGACCGTTTTCGTTTGACAGGTGTCATCCGGCTCGGATAGGAGTCGATTTTGTTACGTTTCATCAGCGATTCATTGATGGCAATTGGGTCAATGAGAATTTTTCGCGTTAAATCATGTGACACACATATATCGAAATTCTTTTTGTATTCAACCTTTTTCACGTGGTTCAAACTGGTTTGTGTGCAATGTCAGTGATCGCATGACGCTCAGGCTCGACATTTTCAACACCGCGGAATATATTTTACATCAAATTCAACGAAACGAAATCGATTTAAACAAAATTATGTACAATATGATTGGCTGTTGCAGTATCAGGACGAAACTTCCGTTTCTGCCTTTTTCGAAGAAAAATTTTAAAATACACCGTAATTTCTCTTTGTTGGTGTTCGTTTTGGACACGCCAAGTGCTCAGCTACTACTCAGTTATGTGATCAACACCTATTATCTTCTTTGGTACAAAATATTATCTTTCTAACGCCTTCTAGTATAATTCAATCGGGCTTGCAGAGCACGAGAAACAAATCGCTAAAGCCATATATTGCAATATCAATGAATTACTTTTTACATTTTTACCCATTGTTTATTGTGTGTGAAGCATATTATCAAATATTTCCACTCATTTTATTGTCTAAATTTTATATAAATAATTATCGATTACATTGTTGCCATATTGGTAAGTACCAGAACTAAGTTCGAACATGTTCGAAACAGCTGTTTGTCATTTGAGTCTGTAACAGCTGAGGCAAATTTGCACTAATTTAACTTTTGATGTTTAAGGGGTGTGATCTTTACAACCTGAAAAGAATGGTGTGGAGTTTTAGCTTAAGAGTCAAAGAGTAAATTTTATAGGAGAGTTTTTTTCTTAATTTCTCTGTAGCTAGTTTGCAAGTAAATATGTATATTCCCATGAAATTTAATACATAATTTTTGTTTAGCCCAATATTTTAAACTGCAATGAAATTTCGGGAGATGATGCGCGTAATACTAAATTATCGATTTTCATACGACTCTTAAGTTTTTATTTTTGCGCACAATTCTTGACGTCTTCTGTATATAAGAAGTATTCGCTCTTTGTCTTTTACCTCAAATGAGTCAAAAGCGCATCCCTGATAGCCATTGAAATTGATGCTCAAAAGCAAAAACAAGGTACACGACAATATTTGTGTTTGTTCTCCTTCTCCCACCAATTTGAATTCTTACCTGTAACGTTTTTATTTTCGTAGAAATATCGATAGGGTTGCCTTGAAATCAATTTGTATCAATAAAAATAACGGCGACTTTCTTCCCCGTTATATATGTATTGTGGTTTTTTCTTTTTATTGATTTATTTTAGTAGTAATAATCATAAAAATCTTACAAAGAAATATATATTGTGTTACGATTGTATGTAATAATTTCGATACCGACGATTATACCAACCCGATTAATACGCCTCCATTCCATAAGCTTTTGTATCTCACCTCCTATATAAATTGGAAGTGTACAGTGTGACAAATAAGTAATGTAGACCAACGCTTTTAGATAGAAAGGAAATTGATGTAGTAAGGTAAAGAAACTACAATTGAAAAGAAAATTAATGAAAATAAAAAACGGCGTGAATGACAAATGCAAAAAAGATAATACCTTCATAAATATAGATATTAGATGAAGTTATACATATATTTTTGATCTCGAAAATATAATTTAAAACCCATTACATCAATTTCTTGTCATGATGTAGGCATATATATATTTAATTTTTTATAAAAATGTACTAATAAGAGCTTGTTCTTTTTTACTTCTCACCCAGATGCTAGAAACCTTAGCAAGCGACTTTGCTGAAGGCTCATTGCCATATTTTTGGAATAAAGATTTAAATCTTTTAGACATTCTAAGTGATGATGATATAGATGAGTTAGCTTATAAATTGGGTAGAGCTCATGAGACATTACGTCAATATAAGTTCGAACCAAATTTAAGCAAAAAACGATGCCTTACTCATTTTGAGGTTTGTATGTAAATATATATTTATAATAGACATCATACATATATGTACATACATAATATTTATTAAATCGAAACGTTGGTTATACCTTTTTAATAATTCCAAATATTCAAATCATATCTGCCATTTAGCTTATGCCCGATTTTCCTTATTTGATGCTCCTTCATAATTTTCATTTGCTGTCAAAGCAAAGCAGGAACTTATTACATATCGATAAACGATTTCCTCAACGTCGTAAGGTGCTGTCACATACAATAAATGTAATTTCGTTTAATACGGGATTTCCACGACAGCCCAATTACGTGTTTCGCTCTCTCTATTACGAATGCGAATTACCCCCATTCACGGCACGCAATTTGACAGTTTTCGGTTTCATTTGTTTGTACCATTTGAAAATGCATGGAAAATGAAGATTTTAGTAGAAGTTAATAAGATTGTGAATTGGATTGGTAATTTAATACCAGTTTCTTTAACAGTTTCTCATATTTTAGTGTTTCATTGCAAATAAATGTTTGTGTATGATATTCATCTCTTTTGTTTTGATTTCTCAGCTGTTTTCGATACAATTTCGATAAAAATTAGAGAAGGCAACGAGTGGATCGTAATTTGCAAGTCAATTGAGAATGAATTACCCACTATTAATGTAATTCGTTCACGAAAACTTCTATGGCGAGCACAACTGTCGTGGAAATGCCATAAAACATATTTTGCTATAAAAAAGTTCATTTGCCTCCTAAGACAACCTTGAAACTATAGAAAATTATCATAAAATGTATGCTACGTCTGCCAGTTTATGATTTAAATTTTGTAATTATTATATACAATTTGAAATGAATTATTTGCACCTTCAAATTAAATTATAATTTCTCTTATAAATATTTTACAGTTCATAATAAAAATAAATGTACTTTTGGCTTTCTTTTGCAGCTTCCTTAGAGTTGATGCGTTCATTTAAAAAGTCTCTTCGTATAATTTAAAAACGTGTAAATAAATATAATACTTTTTATTTTTATATTTAAATTTCCCTATATATGTATGTATATATTTACAAATGTGAATGTACTTTTATTATTTATATTGTTGCGAAAATGCGAGGCGAATGTCAGATGAAAGAGAGAAGCCGATAACACAAGAACCTTCCATAGCGAACAATTCGATGCTTCTACGCTTTCGTCTGCGAGCAGCCGACTGCTATATAAAGGCGACACTCAGCTGCAAGT